TATTTATTATAACTGTTATATTTATTATAACTGTTATATTTATTATAACTGTTATTTATTCTAACTGTCGTTATTTATTATAACTGTTGTTATATTTATTATAACTGTCGTTATATTTATTATAACTGTTGTTATATTTATTATAACTGTTATTTATTATAACTGTTGTTATATTTATTATAACTGTTGTTATATTTATTATAACTGTTGTTATATTTGTTATAACTGTTGTTAGAGCAGAAACCTTTGGACTGCACCTGCCTGGAGTGTGCATGTGCCACTTCACACGGTTCATTTCACACCTCTGTGGGGAGTTCCCCATAAAATCTCGGCGACTAAGATTCAGAAACCTTCGGTTTCAGAGATAATGAGGCTGTTGTCAGTAAATGAACGGCCGAACGTCTCACGTTGTGTAAACGGGGCCTCAGACTGGCTGCCCTGTCTGTCAATCAAGAGACAAATTTCACAGATGGAGGCTGACGTCTATTTTTTTAATGCCATGCGATCTACCCATAATTCCTTTGCGATTGACCAGTAAATCGCAATCGATGTATTGGGCACCCCTGGTTTAGACAAAAGGTGATGAAAGCATGAGTAACAGCCCTTGAAGGAAAGCATCTCACCCTCCACCTTTCATGCTGGACTAGATGATGATGAAAAATGAAGCTGTAGCTGTTTTTTTCTGTTTTCTGTTATTCTGGTTTAAAATGTTGACCTGGGGTGGAGTTTATCTCAGGAACAAAGTGGGCATATGACGGGAGATGGAAGCAGTAAAACATTTATTCTAGTTTAGATACTTGACCGAGGTTTGTTTCCTGTTCTGTGTAAGTTCTACTGGACTCTTTGTCGTCTGTGTCTCCTCTCTGCTAGTGACTATATAATCAAGGAAAAGACGGTGCTTCTGCAGAAGAAAGACAGCGAGGGATTCGGCTTTGTGCTGAGAGGAGCCAAAGGTCAGAACTGTGTGATCACATCCTCTCTAGTTGCCACATTGATCCAAAACAGAACTCCCAGAGTCTCCTGCTTCAGATGCAGTTCTGATATAATCTTTTATTTTTAGCTCAAACTCCCATCGAGGAGTTTACTCCCACCCCGGCCTTCCCGGCTCTGCAGTACCTGGAATCAGTGGATGAGGGGGGCGTGGCCTGGAGAGCTGGACTCAGGATGGGGGATTTCCTCATAGAGGTACCAACATGAATATTTAACTCATCATCTTTTTAGCATCTCACATGAATAACTTTATGTTTCTGTGAAAAAATTTTTAATTGATAGAAATAAATAATGTTCATGCAGATTTTGGTCTGCAGAAGAGACGTAGCTCAACATCTGTAACTTTTAAAGTTTGCTTCAACGAGTAAAAGTTGTCCCCAAACTGCTTTTTAAAAAGCAACTATTGGGCTGCAGAGGCTCTATGATGTAACTTTAAAACATAAAGAGATAAAATTTGTCTAAATGTTCATAAACCATGTTTAAAAACCTCCTCCTCGTCTCTCCTCATATCTCAGGTCAACGGTCAGAATGTGGTGAAGGTTGGGCACCGGCAGGTCGTCAACATGATCCGGCAGGGGGGCAACAGCCTCATGGTGAAGGTTGTCATGGTGACCCGCAACCCAGACATGGAGGACGGCGCGAGGAAGAAAAGTAAGAGTCCTTCTGGTGGTAGAGAGAGTATCTCACTCCACTGAGACTGCTGGAGATGAGCTGATGACTAAAACTTTATTTTTATGAGTACGGCTTGCAAAACCGTGCCCAACATTTTGTTCACCACCTCCACCCTCCTCCAAGACCACCTGGGCGCAGCGGCAGCTTGACTCGGGCGGTCCACCTCTCAAACAGGATCACAGGTGTCACAAGGAGAGCTCAGGGGGGAACCTCATGTGACGCTGAAGCTCTGCACCACGGCTGAACCATTCTTCTTTCCACAAAGACTCACGTTTTATTTTACAACGTCAAACAACACAAACGGTGTCGTCACAAATACACGCGCTCACCGGACACTTCAGGGAGCTGCACTCCCCTACAGAAGTACTGGCTCACCTAAAAATGTTTCCTCTTAGACGATAACATTTTGTCAGATCCAGATGGAAATAAAAGCTGAAATGTCTCGTTCTTTCAGTCGACAGCAAAAGTCAAAGAATTGGCCTCGTTGTTCCGACACTCTTAGAGCGGAGCGTAAGTGACTTTGAAGGTGACACGAGTGTTTCAGAAACTGCTGAACTGCTGGGGGGTTTGTGCACAACCTTCCTTACAGAAACTCGTCAAATCAGGCAATGATTTTCTAACCTGTTGTCCAGTTTTTTGTGAATTGTGACTCGTAGCCTCAGTTGCTTCCTGTTCTTCGCTGACAGCAGAGGCTCCCGGTGTTCTGCTGCTGAAGCCCGTCTGCTTCAAGGTGGGACAAGTCGTGCGTTTAGTTCAGTTCAGTTTATTTATATAGCTCCAAATCACAACAAAGTTGTCTCAGGGCACTTTACAGGAACATTCACATACATAGAAAAGACAATTAGTAAAGTTCTGTATCTAAGGAGGCCAGCAGACAAGTTGAATATTCATTTTGTCGCAGTCTCCCATCCTGAGCAAGCACAGTGGCAACAGTGGAAAGGAAAAACTCCCTTTTAAAAGGAAGAAACCTCCAGCAGAACCAGGCTCAGGACAAGCGGCCATCTGCTTTGAGGGTTTTCTGCAGACTTAGGTTTATGGAGCTACTGTTGCTTTTCTGTCGTCTCCAACTGGTCAACGTGGCGTTTCCATCCACATAATTGCTCACTAGATATTTTCTCTTTTTTGTGAAAATCCCAGATCAACAATTTCTGAAATGCAACTACGCCACGTTCAAAGTCACTTAAATCCCCTTTCTTCTCCGTTCTGTTGTCTTCACCTCGTCTACATGCCCAAATGCATGATTCGTGGCGTTACCATGCATTTGAACAGGTGGACCGATAACTGGCAATAACTCACCGCTATTTAAACACGTATGTCTTTTTTTTTTTTTGCTTAAAATCCACGTCACAGATGTGCAGCCCTGCGACTCACGTGATGATATTGAGAACACCTGCAAACTTTTCCAGATGTTTTTGAAAACTCCTTTATTTGCAGTTTGTTGGGGCAAAATGAGATACTGGCTAAACTGAAGATTTATCTAGAACAGCTTGACTGCAGCTGCTTTTTATTTCTGTTTCAGTCCCACAGCAGAGCAAGAGGCTGAGCACTCCAGCCATCGCCCTACGGTCCAAATCAATGACGTCAGAGCTGGAGGAGATGGGTAAGAAACCAGTCGAAATTAGCGTTTCAGAGGATGAAACCAGGATTACAAAAAAAAAAAAACCTTTGTCAGTGAGATGTAGACAAAGAAGGACGGTGCCGACTACAGTAACGAGGAACGAAAGAGGCCGTGTGAAACCAGCATTAACGTTTTTGATCGTGTGACGTGAACTTCAGCTAAATTTAGTCGGCAAGAAAAAAGAGCGGAGACGACGGTTGTTCAGTGACAGGAACAAGAGAAGACGACGAACGGATGATGGACTCATTGCGTTTCACTGTTCTTTCAGAGGTTCCACACTGTCACTTCCAGCACCCACACTACAGGTAACCCCACCCATAAAACATGGCCGACCCGCCTCTCACTGCCCGCTTCTCTTACCTTTGACTTCCTGCACCTCCTTCTCCTCCCTGGTCCACCCAAAGCTTCAGCTTCAACACTTAAAAGAACACTTTCAAAGTCTACACTTGCCGCGCCGACACTCGGCGAGCGTTTGTTGCCTAGGCAACACATTTATTTAGGGTGTCAACCGTGCGCCGCGGTTTTGATGATTAAATCTTACGTATCGTTTCTCTTTGAGCAAATGTCAAAATGCACCTTTTTTGTTTCATGTTGAACGTTTATTTAAGTCCTTTGAAAGAAAATTTCAGCACAGATAAATTATTGAGATGAGTAATTGAACTTGGTTCCTGGTCTGTTTCTATGGTAACGGCATTATGTGTGGCCATGCCATCTCTATTTGAGGCAAAATAGTGGGAGGAGGGTCAACGCCCCCACTTGTAGATCACAACGTTGGCCGGCATTTTAATTGTGACTGGCTTTTTCCTTCTTCTGAACATTGCTGGTGTTTACAGCAAACGCTGGCTGGTTCTGAGCATGCTCAGTGGTGACGTTTGAAACATTACTTTCAAGACCACTCTGCCTTTAGCGGCGAGCGATAACAATGACTCGTGTAGCATCTGGAGAAGAGTTAGCAGGCATTTCTCAGCTGGTTTTACTTTTCTGGGGTGCGCCTTTTGCCTCGTTTTATTACCCACAATCCCTCCCTCCTCTAACCTGCCTTCTTTCTGTGGCGTGACCTCACCTGATTCACACAAAGCATGATCACCCATTCTGACACATGAAAACGGGTTTCCTCAAACCCCGTGTTCACTTTTCCTGATGTCACAGTAGTCACAATGCACTCACTGAACTTTACATCACCTCTCAGTTAAACAATTAAAAGTGTACGTGTCTTACTCAGTACTCTCATTACTTCATAATACAGTAGTCCCTCGTTTATGGCGGAGGATCCGTAACCTGAAGACCCACGATAAGTGAAAAACCGCCAAGTAGAAATGGTAGTACAAGTAGTTAGTAGTAGTTTATTTTATTATTTATATAGATATACTGTATATTAAGGTGTTTTAAACTCTTGCAATTTTATAAAAAAAAAAATGTTTCTAAACGCTCTAAAAGAGCACAGAATGTCATGATTTCAGCTCCCTTCCTCGTCTGCTCTTGCCACTTGCAAGCGCTCTTGGCCACGCCCACTTCTCAGCTCTGCACGGAGAACAGCTGATCAGCTGCAGCAGGAAGTTTATCCTGCAGTAAGAGCTGCACAAAGGTGCAGGAGGTGCCGAATAATTTAAAATAATTAAAAAGTAAAAAGTAATTTTGTAATATGTGGGACAACTTTCAACTGGCATTGTTTCTCCCTTTGAGTCAAGGTGATGGGAGCACACTGTGCGATGAAGCCATGTCAGCTGCTGCCATCTGCTTATTCTAATACTTTCAACTTCATTTAGCTGCGAAGCCTGTTAACCTTTTTTTAGCTTTGTGATTGGTGCAGTGTCCCAGTTCACTCAACTGCAAAACAACAAGGACTAATTAATGGAAGAGACCATGCAGCTCTCACAGACTGTTGCTTTTCTGGCTGTAATTTTCTACAAATGTTTAAATGTGTCCAGACATGTTGTTCATTAAAGCTGGAATTTATTTTTATTCAGATTCAAGTAAAGGTGGAATTAAGCACATGTTCAACAAGGTGTAACTTCCACTGTAGTTAAAGTTTATAAACAAAACTTAAGACAAAGTTTTTATACAAGTTTTGCAACTCTATTCTCCCAAAAAACACACACCAGTGGATATATGTAAGGTGAAACGTCTCCTCTTCACTCTTGTTTAAACCTCCTTGTTCATTCGGTTGATAACCACTAACTCTCTCACTTTTGTCCCTTTTGTCCTCACCACTCTGCGGGCTGGATCTCAACAGTGGAGAGAGGTTGGAGTCCTTCAGCTTAAAGTCTTGTTTACGACGCAGATTAATTTTTTGGTTCTCTTCCACTTTAAATTAAAATTTAAAAAAACAGAGCTGATGTTACTGGAGCCAAAAAGCTCCAGTTTTGTCTCATTGGTCCCAGAAACTTTGGGGCTTGTATACATCTTTTTTTGTGAATTCTCATCTTCCATGGAGCCCGATATGACTCAAACTGGATGGTGCTGTCAGAAAGTGACGTAGTTTTACCGTAGAGTTCAGCTTTTGGACGTGTCATTGGCTCTTTTATCACCATCCACACTATCCATTTGATTAACCTGGGGCTGCATTGCTTCTTGCGTCCATGTCTTGGAAGGTTGGTTACAGTCCTGTGGACTTTATATTTTTTAGTAATATTATCAGTTATGGTCAGAGGAACATGATGCTGCTTGGTTTTGTTCTTGAAGCCTTTACCTTTAACTAGAATATTTATAATCTTTTATTATGTCCTTCCACCTGTCTTCATGTGTTCTGGTCTACCTGTCCACAGGTGTTCTGGTCCACCTGTCCACAAGTATTCTGGTCCACCTGTCTTCA